TGACTTTGGTATCCGGATATCCAGAGCGCGGCGCAGTTCTGGCTCCTTCACATTCTCTCGCAAGAAGTGAAGTGTCATGGTATCGTCCAAGCCAGCGCGCGTCTGGAGAGTCAGCATGGCGTCGTAGTACTGCTCAGGGTTTCGGTCAAGTGTTGGTAGTACCGATGAGTGATTTCTCCCATGGCAGTGGCCTGCTGATTATCGTCGCCATATCGAGTGGCAAACTTTTGGAGCCACTCTTCCACTGTCCAGCCATCCTCGTCTTCACGATTGGCTTGGCCAGTGTACCATTCTTTTACAGGGTCCGAAAGGGCCATGTAAATGCGGCTCATGAAGTCCGGATCTGGTTTGTTCAGATCGGACGACTGCTTACAGATCCGTCGGACCTGAGCAAGCCATCCTTTCACCATTGTCTTGTTGCCGTCGAATTTTGGCAACTCGGTGCGGACTTGAGCTCTCGCGGTGGCTTTTCCCATCTCTTGGGCCATTTCCTTTATTTGCTCTCTGGTTGAGAGAGCTGGGCTGGCCGGTGGTGATGGGGCAGGTGTTGGCTGCTGTGGTATTAGCGGCACTTGCTGAGGTTGGGCCCACATTGGTTGGCCCGGTACGATCTGGATAGCCCCGTTGGACGCCATCCATGCGTATGCTCCATTCGGAAGCTGGACCAACATGGGCGCATTTTGGCCCTGGCCTGGTTGGGCTGCTGGTCCTGGTGGCATGGCCGCTGTTGGCGGTATGCCTGATGGTTGGGGCACGTTTTGGCCCGTGGGCGTGGTTTGGCCCATCTGTGGCTGAGCTTGGCCCGTTGGGGCTGCCGCCGTGATAGGAGGGCCAAATAGGCTTAGTTGGCCTACTAATGGTGGTTGCACCGTTGGTGTACCACTTTGGCCTCCTATCTGTCCTTGCATGGCCGATGGCCCGAACATAAGGCTCGGCTGGCTGGTCCTGTTTGGATCCATGCTGCTAATGTGAGCCTGGCTTGTGGCCGGTTGTGGACTGAAGTTGAAGTCCATGTTCGGGAATATTGACGGGTACAAGGACGGGTACGATGGCTTTGATCCGTAGTTGCTGTGGCTTGGATCAAAGCTTGGCCCGCTTGACGTAGACGGATAAGTCTGCGTTGCGGGCGTCACTATCGTCGTTGGACCAATAGTGGCAGTTGTGGTGACCGGGACTGGTGGTGGCGGCAGTGTTACTGTCGCCGTTGATGTTCCGCGGTCCACCGGGCTGGGAGGCGCAGGTATGGTTGGCCCTTTTGGTGGATCTCCAACCGATGGTCCTTCCACAGCCATGTTGACTTGGTAATCTTGGTGATGATACACTGGCTCGCGGTAGAAGCGTTGGCCCTGCCGCAGAGCCTCGTCGACTTTTTCTTGTCGGCGTTGTGTATCCGAGTCTGGGAAGGTGTAGTAGGACGGTGGTTCAGCGGACAACTCGGAGTTAATATCTACGAGGTGTGATTTCTCCGCATCTAAGCAGGCGTTTTCCGTGCTTAGCCTTTCCAGTTCCTCGTTCATCTCGGTTATGCGTTGTGTGGCCGCCTGGTAGTCTTTGACCAGGCCGGCATTATTGGCCTCCAATGTGATGATTCGGTCATGTTGGCCCTGGATCACCTGTTTGGCTTGAGCGAAGGCCTGTTCCAATTGGACGAAGTTTTGGTGTCCAATGGTGCTGTTCTGCTCAAGTTGTGCCCGAATGGTCGCTTCGGTATTGAGCTGGCTCTGGAGGGCAACGATCTGTTGCTGGAGTTGCACGTTCTGTGCCTCCTTCTGTTGAACCGTTTGGCTCAACAGTCCTCCTTGTTGAATCGTCTTGATGAGATTTTGGTGACTCTCATAAAGAAGATTGTAGCCGTTCCGCAGGCGGTTAATTTCATCCTGCAGGTTGGCCAAGTCTTCGGTGAGACGCTCGTTTTCCCTCTGTAGGCGGTCCGCCTCAGAGTCGGTGTCGTCAATAGTTGTCCGGGCCGCGGCCAAGTCGTCCCTGGCTTTGGCCAGCTCAGTCCTCGTAGAGGTGAGCAGGGCTTCAAGGCCCGCCACAGCCATTTCTAGGCTGTGGATTGTCCTGTTGAGCTGGTCTCGCTCAGCGTTAGGACATGGTGACAACTTGAGCTGAGTTAGCTCAAGTTGGGTCTGGGCCAGTATGGCCGAGACACGTTTAGCCTCTGCGTCCGATTGGACCGCAAGGTTTTTATGCCGGCAGATCTCATCCTGCATCCAACGTTCGGATAGCAGGGCCGCTTCTGCCATGTCCGCCAGCTGTTTAGTCAGGTCCCGTACTGTGGTCCTGAGTTGGTCGACTTCGTCGATTTCTTCGGGCCGGGTTGCCTGGTTCAGCTTTGGCGGAGTGACGCTGGCGCGGGTTGTGTCCCAGGAAGGCCGGTTTAGGTCCATCCTGGCTGTGGCCCTGCTAAGTTGTGCCAGGTCCACAATTGGCTCTCCGTCCGGTTTGGACGGGCCAGACGCGCCGATGACGTCATTGGTTGGCGATGGCGTTGCAGGGGTTGAGCCATCGACTTCAAACATGATGGGCGACTGACTCACGGGCTGTTGGCCCTGGTCATGTGCCTTTGGACCAGCCTTTTTGGCTTGGCCCTTTGCCTTGCGTCCACCTTTGGTCACCGTTGGTGCCGCGGGTTGGATCTGGTCCGCTCCCGGTAGGGTTGGACTTGTTATCAGATCCTGGACGTCAAGGTTGGACCGGGCCAAGTTGTTTGGCCCTGGTCCATCAGTGCGTGTCTTATCCTCACTTGTGGCCGCCGTCGGCGCCTCAAGTTGGACTTGGCCCGAGCCAGGTATGGCCGGTTGTTGCGCCAAGTCCCGAGGGCACTGTTGGCCTGGGCCGTCCTCTCGGCACGAGGTTGGCTGTCCAGAGGCTGGTTGGCCTCGGACAGTTCGTCGGATGCCTCCTGGAATGTGTCGTCCCGGGTGGCGTCCAGACTTTCATCACTTGTCTCCAAGTCGGCCGGCAGGATTTGTCTGTCCCGCCTGGCTTTGGCCTCGACCGAACTCGTTGAGCCGGCCGAGTTTGGCTCGTCTGGTTCAGAACCGCCCTGTTTGGCCCTGCGGAAACCGTAAGTTCCCGGTGGGTCGCGTGTGGCATAGTTCTTCCCCAGTTGCTTCTTATATTCGTTGGGTTGGCGCCCGTCCATAGGACTGAGCAATCTCCGTTGGAGTTGCTCATGGCTGGTGTATGGCATCACCTTGGCCAAGGCGCTTTCAATCTGGCCCATGGTATTGGGACTTAGAAAATTTCTTTGGTCTTGGTCCGGACCGGAACGTTGAGTTGGCTGTCGCGGGTTGGTGCTGGTCAGGTGCGCTAGAGCTCAGGTTCAGCGTTAGCTTCCTATGGCCCTATGTTACGTTACTGACCAGTGTGACGTCACGTACGAAATGGTTTTGCAAAAAGCTCTACGTCACGAGTAGCGTGCCGTGAGCAAAAAATGCAAAAAAAGTATGAGTCACTATGACTGTTATAACACGGGGAAGTTTCCCACGCGTTCTGATTGGTCAAAATTTTATGGAAAATAACCACGCTGACGTCACGCGACTTTTTCGCGAAAATTCCGGCTGGACAAAATGGCGGTTGTTTTTCGCCGATAATTCGGTAAAAATCAAAGAAAAATTTTGCGAGAGTAACGTTACACAATTCTAGTGTAAAATTTCTCGAGGAATCCGAAAATGTAATTTTTAAGCGAATCGGACCACAGGTTCGAAAGTTATAGAATTTTAAAGTTAGGTTCTACGCGGAAACCTCCAATTTTTGAAAGTTCTACGAAAACCTACGACGCCACAGCAGGTCTTACCGGCGGTTTGTTCGCTCCAAACTGCTGCTCCGTCGTTCCCCTTCACCCTTTTCTATCGTAAGGGCCGCAGCGCACCCGATAGGGCGTAATGGTGTGGCAGGACCGTACCGAACGCAGTTTTGCGCCGGGAACCAAAGCTGCGGGAGGTCTACTTATAGACGCTGACCCGTATCAACGCAACCCGGTAGGGTGCTTATTTGGTCAACAGCGACGTACCCAACTCAGTTTTTGAGCGGGGAGCCAAAGCTGCGGGGGACCTACTTATAGGCATCGACCCGTATGAATAATCCGTCGCGCAGCAGACTTCCAATGAAGTCTGTATGATGCAGGAGATGTGGTCGCGGGATGGCTGGCCTACTTATAGGCAATCAGCGTAGTTCGACCGGTGATGCCTTCACTGGGAGATCAGAGGTTCCAGGAAAGAAAAACCGAACGATACTGCTACCATGTCAGATATGACACAGAGGCAGATGAAAAATGGGGCAAATATCGCCTTTATTGGTACAATAAAGCAACAACAACAACACAAAACCAACAGAAAACCCAATGTGGGAAAAGCTGTGGAAAAAGTGCCTGCAGTGCGCTATCAAGGAATCGTGATAATGATTCCGCGTGCTGCGGGTATGCAACAGCTGATGCTGCAAAGCATGGAATCGCCCGTAGGCGCAGGGCTCCGCCCCCAAGAGTGCAGAGGAATGCGCTGATTGGTCAGCGTAGACAAAGTATACGCTGAGTAAGCAGCGTAATAGCGCGGCACGAACGGCGTTGCCGTGTGCGGGCGGGCGACAGAGAAAGCCACAAGAGGTGTCTACCGCCTCGAGTGAGCGGTCTCTGACAAAATGATATCGATACCGAATTTACAGCTGGTCATTTTCTCAGGAATCGTTTTTCACTCAGTTACGCAAAAGTCAACAAACTTAAGAAACATATCTGTAAGTCACGTTAAAGCATAAACGTAGTAAAAGCATTCATTCCGCACAGTTAACCAGTATAATGTAATGAGAGTCCATGCCTACGGCATAGTGTACAATTTATAGTGCAGTGGTATCAGTCACGCCTATTCTTTGGGTTCGAAGGTCAAATAACCAGTTAGTCTAAACATATGCAAACTTCCCGTCAAAGAGCTGATTATTTCTTCCCGGGCGACGGAGTCGCTGCCTGTCCGTTGGCTCCACCCAGCCATTCTTCCAGTAGATCACGGCAGCGCTTTGTTGTTGACGGTGAGCGTCACACAGGCCGACACCGGGGAGGAGCGTGCCCCACGGGCCCCGACCGGATACCCCATACTCCGGCGATGCGCCGCGACGGTGTACACTTCCATGGAGGTAAGCTCCATTCCGTCGCGGCAGCACCCACCGCATACAAACAGTTTGTCCTTCAGAACGAACATACTGTGTCCATACCGCGGCACGGTCAGGCCGGGCAGGGGCTGCCACTGGGCGCCGGCCACGCCCAACTGCAGCCGCTCGCAACTGCTGAGGACGGTCGAGTCGCGTCCCACACCGCCCGTCACATACAGATAGCCGTTGTGGACTTTGGCGGCGAAACTGCAGCGCGCCTCTCGCATAGCCGGCAGCTCGCTCCACTGGTTTGTCCCGGCGTTGTATATGTCGCCCGTGGCCAGGATGTTGCATTGACGGCCCTTGGCGGGATATCCGCCGCAGATGATGAAGTAATGATGCGGCCCCTCTTGCCAGACGTCGAAGCCCGCTTCCTTCCTGCCAACCAATCAACTGATTGAAAAAAGCTACCGATTTAGCAACCGCGAAACGTATATATTGTACAAGCCAGATTTATAATGGGCTGCGTAAAGATACAGCAAAAAATGTACTGTAGTCGCGCGATTTGTATGCACCACAGAGTCTGGTATACGGAAATCGTCGCATACTCTGCAGCATGCTCTACGTAACGTGTGCGTGTGTAGGTTAAAAAAATTCGCTGATTCTGAATCGGTAATCCGTTTGCGTTAAATAAAAAAGTTTGGGGGGTAAACTGAATTTGCTAATAACCTGACGAAGTCCACCGCCTTTATTATTTGTACCATATGTATTCTGATGCCTGTTGCCTGTTAAAAGAGAGTTTCCGTATAAAATGCAACCAAACGATTCTGTGCTCAACTGCTCATACAAAATGCACTCACTGCTTCCCAAAAAAGCCCAAATATATGCTACAGCACCCACCTCATCTGCTTGGGGTTTTGGATATCGCGGTCGAATTGGCGCGTAACGGGATCGAAGGCGTAGGAGGCCGTGTTCCGGGTGGCGCCGGTGTTCCAGCCGTACACGCGACCGTTGAGGCTGACCAGCGGTGAGGCGGCGCCCGTCAGCGGCTCCTCGCACAACTGCTCCAGCGACATCTTCGATGCATCAGTGCCCTCTATTGCCAACGCGTAGGTACGCAGCTGCGCACCATGCTCCACGCGGAACCACACCCGATTGCCCACTACCGGGCCCATCTCTTTCATTGTGTTCCACGTCTGTAATTCAGCCGGTAGCGGAATAGCGAGCAGCTTGTTCTGGCGCATGTCGTACAGGCGCAGGCTGGCGGTGTGCCGGTCAGCGGAGAACAGGCAAGCCACCTCGGTGAAGATGCGCTCGCGTGGCGCGGCGGTGTAACGGACGGCGGCCGGCGGGAAGACGCAGGTTTCTAGTTCCAGCAGAGCATCGCGCAGCGGTCCGGCGGCGGTAAGGATGGCCACAGGCAGAACCTCAGGCAAAAGATCCCAGCGAATCTCCGGCATAACAGCCTTGAAGTTCTCCGACGTCCAGCGCGCCGGATAATCCACGTGGAACCAGTTCATCACTTTCTGGAACAAGTAGGCAAGACAGTAAGTGACCTTAAAGGTGGCTGCCACGCTAAAGGCTTTTTAAACAGACGGCTAATGCGTTTAAGGCTTTATTCTAGTTCTAGTTATTATGTTTTTCTTAGGTACCATAAAGTTTTCTATGTTTTCTCAGGTTTTTAAGACATTTTACCTGGTAAACCTCCATTTCGTTGGACAGCGGGAGGAAATCCTGCCGAATGACGGCCAGTAGTTCACTGAGCGACAGACGCGCGCCTATCAGGGTGGAGTCAGCCGGGACTCGGTTCTGGTTGACACTTTCCGACGCGCTGGCGCTGCTCGGCTTCGGCACGGTAGCTTGCGGCGTGGTAGTCTGGACCCTCTTGTTCACGACTGTTTTGTTCACGACTGTTTTCGGTGTATCTACGATGCAGAGAAACAAATACTGCCACTGCAGTGAATGCTACCCATTGAACGCATTGACAAGCGTTTTATATGTAATTGAATACTGGCGAATGTTCTAGAGAACCCGGCACATGATAGTAAGATCGTGCACATCTTTTGCAACTTCTTGCTTACGCATATTCTGCAACGTTTCTGCAACCAAATAATCTGGACGAATATCCTTAAACCTGAAACCGGGAATACGCCCAATATGCGGCTAAGAATAGACAAGTAACTCATTTGCCTCGATTTTATGTACGCAGCATGGGATTTTAAAAACTGCCGGACACAGCATACGCCCATTACCAAAATCCGCTTCATAAGGCACAACTACTATTATTATCATTATTTTTATTACACTAGCCAACTTATTCACTGATGAAGATAGCTTTTCAGGATAATGGAAAATTTTTGGGACATTTTGAAAATTTTATACTTTTCTTGGTTTGATTTTATGAGATAAAACTAACCCAGGACATACAATACGAAACCAACACGGCTTTTCAGTAATTATACAATTATTGTACGATAATTATAATACTATAATACATAATTATAAATGTAATACAATTATAAATATATTTATAAATATAACGACAATTATAAATATAATACAATTATTTATTATTATAATTATTGTACGATACGATCTTGGTACAGTGGCATGTACCGGGGCACTTTCGTTAATCTCCAGAGTTTCCCTTTAGTAACTACTACGTCGAGACGCGGTGCTTACTTTCAGCAGCATTAAGGGTGGATGGCAGGGGAATCCTGAGAAATGCCGCGGCCTCCTGCAGCTGCCGGGCCGTACCCGCGCCATCGCGATTAGCGCGACCGGCGTCCAACGGCAAACGCGGATGGAGTGCGGCCTGCAGGACCAGATGCGCTGACCACGGATCGATGTTGGCCGGCAGACGGAGGTGGCACTGGTTGTCCTGTCGGCGCCACGGCTGCCCCAACGCCTCCACCGCCGACCAGGGACTGTACACCGTAAACTGCCCCGTCACCACCGCTACTAACTGCTGCGACGACGACGACGACGACGCGCGTGGCTCACCGCCGCCACCGCTCACGCTGCGGTCACGGTCAGCATCCGGTTTGGTGCAGATAATCTTGATTGTACTGCTACCAGCGTCCTCCGCTTTGCGCTTCCCCACATTCTCGGGCTGATTCTCCATGATCCGATCCGCTACATACAGTACAAGAAGTGTTAGGGATGAATTTTAACACTTGGGTTTCAACCAGCGGAAGCATCCAGTATTTTTCTCCAAGTTTCGAAATCAATTTTAGAATTTTAAATTTTAATATAACAATCAGGAAAAAAACCAGTCTGATAGGAACTTACCTACTGTATATCCTTTAGCAAACAACTGCAGGATCGCGCAAGCGCCAAATGTTCATAGGGAACAGAAACCAGATAAAGCAGTCAAAAGCGGTATAAGATGGAACTGTACAATATGTGTACTTGGGCTCTTCTGAACTTAATATTGAATTTTAAATGGACTAATTAAATCTGAAACGCCGACCTCCGCTAAAATAGCGAGAACGTACAGATTGTAGCAGAAATTTCGGCAAGTAATATGGCCAAACACACACAAAGAACCGCGGCAGCGCGCGGTGTCTGCAGAAAACACGCGTCTGGCAGTGCCAAATCGATAATCAGATGGGCGTGGTAGAGATAGTGGATTGGTGGATGTAGAAACCCGGCACCGGCACTGTAGGCAACGATCCTTTGTGAGTCAGCTTCTCCTTATCAACAAACCCGCGTCCATGCAGACAGGCAGGCACCGTGTCACCTCGCTCTCACGCTATCGACGCAGATCTAGTAGATAAAATACGCGCTTACAGATTAGCCCGATCAATCCTAGCTAAACTTCTTGAGAAAGATATCGCGAAATAAAATGCGAAAGCAGTTTTGCCTGAGATTGAAGAGACGGTTTTTTCGCGTAATCTGGCAGTTACTGTAATTAGCCAAATACAGCTTTTCGCAAGCATACACGGTAGACTGAAGTAGGAAACCGCACATTCAGACATGCATGACGCATGTAGTCGCGGACACCTTTAAAAAATGCGTTTTTCGAGATGCGTGTGCTACATTGTGCGTCTTCCAGGTCTTTGCATATATACTTATACGTTTGCTCTGACAGTGTGAATTGGTGCGACAGATAAGAATCAATTACTAAATGAGATGCAGTTCCAGCGCCGATACATGCGGCACTTTTGCCCCTTGATCCTGCCGAAATCACAAGCGCCACTTTGGACGGACGTGCGCAGAAACGGCTTCTTTCATTTCCACCAACAGTAAAGAGCTGAAGCATAGCAGCCACTCGGAGTCTTATTAGTAAGTGAGCATTGCGATCCATCTCGGAATCAGTAATGGCCATGCGAGGAGCAGAAGACTGGGACGATCGATCCGCTGATTAACATCAACGGTCGCCTCTACGGTTGGGCTACCGACACCACGCAAAACTCCGCCTCCTACATGTTCGATCCCGACACGCACCAATTCCACCATAATATCCGCCATCCCAACCTCATCAGGTTGGTCATTTCTCTCGCTAACGTATACTTCGCTTTTTCTCATATTTTGGTCACTTTAATTATACAGTTTCATATTCCGGTCACCAGGTAACAAAACAAGACAAAATTCACAGAAATGGTAGGTTTTCATAGAAACGACCTCTCCCATTTAATTGGCAAAGTAAAAAGCAAGTTGTGCGATCAGCAGAAATTTATGTAGTGCGAAACGTGTGCGGTCGTACCAGTGACCGGAATATGACACCATTCACTGAAAGTGACCGGAACATGGAGAAATAGCGGAGTACAACTCATTGCTCTATAAAATACAACCCATTCGCAAAAGTAATTGCTTGGGTTGTTCGTTGACAGAAAAGAAGCTGCATTCGACGTGTGGAACCATCAGTACTTCATCATCCTGGGTGGATATTCGGCTGAGGGTCCTGACCGCAGCATCCTGGCCAGCGGCGAGATGTACGACGCGGTGAATAACCAGTGGAGCGAGTAGCCGGCGATGTTGCAGCCGCGCTGCAGCTTTGCAGCCAAAGCCTTTAACGGCTACTTGTACGTCACGGGTGGTGTCGGACCGGGATCGGCCGTCCTCAGCAAATGCGAGCGGCTGCAGCTGGGCGTGGCCGGCTCCCAGTGGGAGCCGGTGAATGACTTGATCTTTCCCCGTTACGGGCACTGTATGTTCGGCCTGTATGGTAAGCTGTACGTGTGCGGTGGGTGCAGTTGTGGCGGGGAGCTGCGGTTGCTCATGGAATGTTACGATGGCGGGCTGAATTGGCCTTACTGGAAGAGCGTGTACGCGACGGAGGTGCCCGAAGGCTCGCGTTCACTGGTGTCCGCCTGTCTGACGCATCAAACACAAAGTACTGCGCTGATGGTGACAAGAAACCCTTTGCTGTACTAGTGGTGTTGCCTGTCTTCGATGATCGAGAGATTTCTCGTGCTAAGTATGACTGTTTCTCGTACGAGTAAAGTGAACGTTGAGCGATATTACTAATATGTGGCGGAATGGGAATACTGCTGTTAATTGTGCGTACTGCAATCTGGCGACTGGCATGATGTTTCTTATGTTGATCTGATCATGAGTTGACCAGTACGTTGCACATCTTACGATTAATCGCATCGTTAATAAAACGAAGTTCATTGAAACGAACTCTCGTAATAGATTGTGCGTTGTACAAAATCTTCAGTAATAACTCTATACGTTGTGTATTCCTGTCAAAATTAATCGACCGAGGCGAAGTAAAGGTCTTCTAAAGTATATATATATTGAGCATATATGTATATATACGAGCATAGAAAAGCTCACTTATTTGACCTTTTTTTGTGGACGACGTCAACGACGTCACCGACAAAAGTCCCGCTTCCATGAGCACAGGTGACTCTCACTTGGCTCACTTGAAAAAAGTTGTAATTCGCATAATGAGTCCTTCTATCGTTCGGATTACATTTTCATATATGTGCATTGAGTACATTCTAACCACACAGGTTAATCTTGCGTCCCATTCAGACAAGAATTAGTAATACGGTGCGATCAGCATGAATTCTCGCACCAGTTTAATCGATTTACCGTCGGTAACGTCAAAAAACAGTGCGACTTCTGGAACACTGTCTAGATGTTTTGTTTTGTTGTTTTACACGGCCGATAGTTTGTTTTTCATACCTTGACAGTCGCTTTGCTTGTTTGCTTACGCACGAACGTAACCTTGAACGAAAACATTCTTTCAAGATTGTGCAAATGCTAAATATTTGATTCTATAAAGAAGCGTTTGCTTTTCCGTTGTCTTGGTGGTTAGGATTTTCTGCATAATGTTCTTTATTTTCATTGGGCAGAATATGTGAATATTGTGGGATGCGTATCCAGTTCTTACGATTAATATAAGCAACTAACCTGCGTTGTTGCTCATGATTTATTGCAGTTAGGTAATTACAGTGAATTTTTTTATCCCAGTTGTAAATAGTCAGAAACGTTGACCAATGACCATTATTCACTGTCCTAGTATTTCTCACATGCAGAAGTTTCAAATTCTTAACGCCTTCCGAAAGAAACGCCATCTCGCAAGGGAAGTTGACGGAAGATATTGCAGTCATAATCTGAGACCTTTAATTTGTTTTTACATAAGTCCGTCAAATCACACGAAAGTCGCTCCTCTCCAAATCCACAGCATGCGCAATTGTTGCCCAAATCTGGTTCACACGCCGTAGAATACTGTTCGGAGCCCGGGTCGTCACTGCAGCGGCGCTGCGGTGGAGGTCGCGGAGCCTCTGCTTGTCTCTTCGTTTTGGCGACGTACTGATGCGACTCATTTCCTAGTTCCGTGCACTGGTCCTGTTCCTCCTGGGTATCACAGCAGTTGCAGCTCGAGCCAGAAACCAGGTCGCATCCGTTTGGAAGCCGCGGATCGCACAAGCCAGATCCTGTCAAGAACCATCGAAATATCACTCACAAATTCGACCAGAATTTTCTATATTGTGGAAGCTGAATTTGAGCATTCGGCCTTTTGAACATTTTTAGTTTTACCCTAATTAAGATCCTTAAATTTTAAACACTGAAAACATAAAAATCGATGGCGACGTTTACGATCTACTTGCCAGTTGGTGTAGCCGCTGAAAAGGTCAGCAGCATGAAAAATCCAAACATACCCGTGATCGTTAAACCTGCAGCCATTCCGATTGGCAGAACAGTAGCACAAGTCACAATTAACAGACAGTTTTACTCGGAGCGCTCGCTACAATACTTTGGATCACAAAAACAAGTTGAGCTGCATCGAGAAGTTGAGAACTAAGCTGCATAATTGCCTCGCTTATATTGGCAGTGAAGTCTGCAAAGCACAGCAGTCTTTCTCTGTCCGCCAACCGCTGATACCGGTAACGCTGACTGCGCTTCTGCCGAACTCGTTCACTGCAGCCGAACATGTTTTTGGGAAAACTTTCTCTCAAGTGGCCAGACGTGGCTGCGTTGCCTGTAAGTTAAGTTTAGGGCAATGAAGGAAACTGTAGTCCGATGGAATAAAAAAAATGTTGACAGCCGTCAATGCCGGTAATGTTGACCATGCTTCTGTCGCACTGCATCCAAACACGTTTGTGGAAAAATTCTCAAGTGGCCTCACTGTGTGTAATATTACTGGAATAGAGGTTATTGGTGCTTTAGCCCGATCGAATGCGCTATATGATGTCAGGTGAATTTATTTCAACTGCGCATTTATGCAAATACGCATTCGCGAAACTATGTACTAATAAATTGCAATACTTACGCTGAAACACATTTATTTTAGTTTATCTGCACAAAGTTGTTTAACGATGCTTGTCGTATCGGGCCTTCTTCCGAAGCCGGCAGACGTGCTTAAAGCTGCAAAAAATACCGGGACAAGATTCATGCTACATTACCGACAACAATATTAATAATAATATTAAATTTAAAATTAAAACTTTAAAAAAAATTTACAATAAAAAATAATAGTGACAAAATCATTTCGCCTACGGACATAAATGACTTTGTCATCACCAGTCGTATCGACGATGAAGCTGTCGATCACGACTGCTTCAAATACGGCGGAGGGCAGGAGGCTACTGAATGAAGTTGGGGGAGACTTATACCATACCATAGAAGAGGCTTCAATTTCGGAGGAGGCCTTAGATTTGAAAAATACGGTAATTCGGGACGTTGAGGGATTTCGGAACTTAATTTCACTGATAAAGCAGTCGCGGCATCCGTTGTTAATAAGCGAAGTCCGAAGAAACCGAATTTACCGGCATGATTTGTGAAGTCGCTGCTGCGCCGGGTTTCTTTAATGGCTACGCCTCATGGTAAGGTCATAAGTTAAATCAATTTTGGCTCATCGTTTTCAGTTTAAAGCAATTGTCAGGTATGAGCTTACAATTCCTATTTGAAAACATTATCCGTTCTGAACGGCTTTAATTTGTCCAGGAAGT